GAAAATCCATGATAGTGCTTGACCAACTTAATAACCCAGCAAACAGGGTGGAAAAACATAGGATCCCTGCCAAAGCACAGAAGACCAGGCTCAGATTTCCAGAAAGGATACACTAGATAAGACCCAGAAACCACTCCCCACTACCCCCCAGTAATCTACAGTGACCAGCTATCACCTCCCTGTAGCCTGATCTAAGAGCCAAGCACTCAGTATTTCTGGGAAATATTTGAGATTCACCCTTATTACCTTTGTAAGCAAAAACAGAGCACCACACACAGCCAGAAAACCCTCAACTTTTCAGCAACATGCACACTGCACCAAGATTCTTAACAGGGGTACAGCATAGCTGCCGTCACCCTGCCACCTCCTTCAGGGCTAATGATACAGTGTCCAGCAAGAGCAGGACCAACACAGAGAAAATTACCCAGCTCAAACCCATCTTTATAGAGCTCACAGCCATGGCAAGACAACTTCTGTTTTTATCTGTGAGCTGACTGTGTTTCAGAGGCTGCCAAGAGGATAAGAGCAGGGTTGGAGCCCACCTAGTTAATGAGTGGCTACAGGATCCGGTTCACAGTTCCCTCCATGTGGACAGACACTGTGAAATGTCTCTGAAAGATGCAATCTTCCCTTAATTATGCCACCAAGGGTTTTATTATTAATATTATTGTTACTATTAGAAAGTCTAGACCAGTTCTTCCCCTTTCTCACATGGTGCAGAGGTCAGCAGAATTCTCATGCTTAAAATCCTGCCCCAGCAAAGGGTCAAGGCTGACTTGTTGAAGCAAAAGTCCCAGGGCATCCCAAAAGTCTCCTAAGTGCTTGACTTGGGCTTTGATAATGCCAGTTGGGTTGTACAGGCTTTTCCAGCATTTAAACGTCTTCGCTTTCATCCTGAGCATGGTTCCTTTTTCACACAGCATTCAAAATCCTCCCAAATTTCAGACCTTCAGACCTCCCACTGGCATAAGAGGGCAGTCACCTAACTGGCTAACAACCTTGAAGTCCCTGATACCACCGGATCCTTATTAACAGTTCCCAGTCTCTCAGGTTCCCAAAACTCCAGCAAAAAACGAGAAAAGCCAAGAAGTCTGGAAAACCACATCCCTGGCCCAGATATCAGTCAAGAGAGCTACAAAGGACAGGACTGCCAGGGGACCTTGGTGCTTGGGAGCCACAAGATCAGCTGGCAGGAGCCCAGAATGATGGTCTATCACCCCTGGATATCTGAGGACATTCAGCCAAAGGGCTGCATTTCTCCAATGAAGCCTTCTTGATGAGAACCCCACCCAAGGGGTATCCCTTGCCGGGTGCCTGCTGCCTGCACTGGTGCACCCCTACCCCTCCAGGTACTAGAATTACAGTCCTTCAGAGGGCAACAGTTGAGCTGGATTTTTTTGGAAGAAGCACAGGACATCCCAAAGCAGATACATGAAATGGAATCATAGAATGGTTTGGGTTGGAAGAGATCTTAAAGATCATCTAGTTCCAACCCCCCCACCATAGGCAGGGACATCTTCCACTAGACCAGGTTGCTCAATGTCTCATCCAAACTGGCCTTAAACACTTCTAGGGACAGGGCATCTACAATTTCTTTGGGCCTTACCCCCCTCACAGTAAAGAATTTATTCTGTATGTCATTGATCCTCCCTCTCTGTTGTTTTTTTTTAACCCAGCAGTAATCGTGAAAAAAGGAGGTTTTATATCAGAACACAGTGAGTAAGCTGGCACCTCCCTTGTGGAGCTCCTCAAAAATCACTTCCAAGAATTACTTTTCCTAGAAACACTATCCCTGTCTCTTCCAGTCTGAGGACCTTGGCAAAAGCCATTGTTTTCCCTCACTTCAGATGCCTTGTTATGGTTGTGGTGGGGAGGAAGAGAAAGCCACTGCCCCCTAAGCAACAGTCATGATGGGAGTGCCAACAGCCGCATGAGCTGCTGTGGCCACCCTGGCACCACTGTGGCTTGTACCAAGCAGAGTGAGACAACACTGCCTCACTGACACCAGCAGACTGCATGAAGCATCAGGGAAAAGTGGCTGAACACCCATCCTCCCGCTGGTGCTCACCGAACAATTTAGATGTGCTGTTTCCACCTGTCAAGTGTTTTTTAATTATTATTATTAATAGGTTTGTTATTTTTTTAAAAATCCCCATATGCAAGAGCTGAGTTCAGCAAATTACTGCAGCCAAGCGTCAGTAGAGAGAGACAGGAGAGCAATATCATGCTCAGTGGAATATTTAACAAGCACTGATTGCCTGGAAACCTAACTCGGTGAAACCTGCAGGAAAAAAGCAGGCTTGTAAAAAAGCCATCAAAATACATAAATAACCCAGCAAGAGCAGGGGGTGGGGAGGCAGCGGGCAACTTGAACATCCAAAACCTGCCTCTGACTAGTCTCCCCTATGGATTTGACTGCCAGAAGTGCAATGCAGGGCTCAACTCCATGGGAAGGCAGTTGCAAAGGGACCGATTTTGCTTTTGCTGGTACCAGAGAGAATATCTCAACAAGAAACGTAGCACTGGGCTGCACAGATTCAGACCTGAGTTCTAAGCAGTCGTCGGTGCCTTGGAGGAACTCATCCCAGGGCACCTCCTATGGAAAAAAATTCAGCATGGACCATTTTCAAGGCTCTGGACTGGGGAGAGGTGCAGCCTGGTCCCTGCTCAGCTGCAGGCTCCCAACGCAGCAAGGGCAAGCACACCAGCTTTCTAGCAAAATCAAATTCACATCTCCTGTCTGTGCTCTATCACACAATAATGCACCTATGCTTCTGGAAACACAGGAGATTATAAGCACCCCTCCTGCAGCACTCCTCGAGGAGGACAGGAAACAGAGGCACCAAATCCTGCATGGAAGATGAGAAACATAGGCACCAAATCCTGCACATTTTCAGCATTACAGGGATTTTTTTTTCCAGATAGACTATAAAAGTGCTTTTAAAAATTCAAAGCTGGCTTTTCTATTACTTGTGTCTCTGCTCTGCTTTGATTTTTATTTTAATGCTTTCTTTTCCTTATCTTTGTGCATAGCTTTTTTTCCCCTTTTATATGGGTAAAATCAGAAGACAATATTATAGTGCTTTGAAGTCCCTCTGTTATTATGGATTTTTTCCTTGAAATCAAACATAGGTAGATATATACTGCAGTGATGGGCATATTTTAACAAATCAAAACAGCTTTTAAGTTCTGCTAAGCCAGAGATCACATTTTCTCCCTTAAATTGCCAAAAAACCTGTTATTATCAAAATGAAAACTCATGCCTGTAGTCCAGAAAGTGCTTACTTACTCAATCCATTAAAAGCAAATTCACTGTTGAATTACCTTGAAAAGTTAATACTGAAAATTTCTTTGTTTCAATGGATGTAGCAGTCCTTGTGCAGATGAAATCATGGAGAATCTCATCTCAAATTTTCAACCTAAGGTCCTTCTTCTGTCCTTCTCAACAATTTGTTGGGATCCTTTTCCACTGTCCCAGAGGTAAGCACTGGATTCAGCAATTTCATCTCCATATAAGTACCAGAGCAAAAGTCACCCTGACGTGTAAGATATGGAAAACATTTGCGGGGAGGAGTTCAGACCTTCTGACCAAAAGTCAGTGTATTTTTGGTCATCACCCAGAATACCACTTGCTTTAGAGAGGTGACTGTGCACGTGGATCCTTGGGAATTCATGAACCTGTTAATTCTTTTCATGGCAACATATTGGGACTCGTTAGAGGAAAAAAACCCCCACCTTTGGGAGTATAATAAACTGTGGAAAGGGCCAAGGGTCACAATTATCGAAATCAGACTGAAAGTGCAGAGAGAAAATGCCCACCAAAATGAACTACTTCAAAAACCCCAAATGGCTAATTACGTAGGAAGAGAGACATCACACCAAGAATAACCATAATGAGCTTTGATTACACTGCGCCTTTCGCATTTTATTCTTTTTATTCTCACCAAGCTCTTTGAAATTCAAGAGTTCTCTTATGTTAACATCAAAAGGTAAAAGCGCATGGAGGGCTGTGTACTTAGTCACCACAAGAGATGATTAGCAAATTAAGAAAAAAAAAAAAAGCCTAGAGTTTAAGCAAAAAGTAGGCAAAAAAAAAAAAAGAAAAAATAGTCAGCACAAAGTGCTAGGTCAGAGGGTTGAGGGTTCTACACTGTTCTAGGTCAGAGTGGCAAGGGTTCTAGACAGTTCTGGGTCAGAGTGGCAAGGATTCTAGATTAGATGGTCCAGGGTTCTAGACTGTTCTGGGTCAGAGGGTCAGCAGTTTCTGCTGAACACCTGGCTTGGTTTTCCTTCTTTAATCAGGCTCGTTTCAGTTATGGCACACACTCTATATGGTGCCAATGCTGCTAGGTTGGAGAGTCGAGTTCTAGACCATTCTAGGCCTGAGGGTTCCAGGTCAGAGTGGTGAGAATTCTAGATGGTTCCAGGTCAGAGGGTTCTAGACAGTTTTAGATTAGATGGCCAATGGTTCTAGACCATTCTAGGTCAGTTTCTGCTGAACACCTGGCTTGGTTTTGCTTCTTTAATCAGGCTTGTTTCAGTTGTGGCACACACTCTATACTGTAACGACACCGCATCAGGAAGGAGACGTGTGGCTTTGTCATCTCCCTGTCTCAGATGTGTCTGGCTGCAGACAAGGTAGTGGCACGAGGGGAAGGTGCGAGGTGCTGGCTATCCAAGACATCACTTTTCTTACTTAAGAACACTGGAAAATGAAAGGCATGATATTCTCTCTGCTAATTAATATTTCATGTGGTATTCACAGCACTCGCATCAGGACTTTTGCCAAAGGACGTGTTTTGGTTTGTCAGCGAGAGGTAAATAATTAAAGTTTCCTTATTCCTGCTCTGAGCTCCCCAGCTGCAAGTTCGAAGAATAAATAAATAAAAACCACTCAGGAGAGTAAACGGGACTGTCTCAACCTCTGCCTGGCAGGTCACTCACATGATAGGATTAGGATTCCCTTGCTAAATCCAGGCTGAATGGGAAGACAGGAAAGGAGAAATTGGCTTTTTTTATTTTATTTTAAGTGCCTCTGTACTGCTTATTTTCTCCCTTGCTTTTGTCTTCCCATCTTGGGTTTATTCACACGGTCCCATCCCTGTACTGTTGGAGACTCTATCTTTTAGACACTGAGACTTGGAGCTTGAAATATGTGAAACTGAACCACAGAGGGATAAGGAACTCGTCCAAGGTCATTCAAAAAGTGAGTGGTTGAAACAACCCAATGATACTTTCTTCACTGTCTGCACAGTAAAAAGAGACTACACCATTTGCAGAGATTTGGGCATTAGATTAATTTAGCTTTTCTTGTTTTTCCTCTGCTTGGCTTCTAGCTGGCAAATGGACAGAGAAAAGATCATGAAACTTTTAAATAAATTCGTTACTCAGCACAGTCCACTAGCTTTCTCAATAGCTCAGATGATGCAAAATGTCCATAAACAAACTGTCCCAAACACTTGCAATGTGACTTGTGTAAGGGGTGCTGCAGAGGACATGTGTTGGTGCCTCGGCTTCATGGGTCACAGCACTTCCATCTCTACCAAGACCCACATGCAACACACTGAGCCTGCAAGACATCTCAGCCTCAGAACTCAGGGAGCATTAAAGCTCTCAAGCACCCAAGAAAAGCACGGGAATAATAAAATCCCTCCTGCTCGTCATGTACTTGGTCCCTTCTTCAAGAGGCAATTTCCTCTGCTGCTAGATGGTGCCTTCACCAGCATTTCCCTCTGCCATTCCACCATGGGGTGCTGCAAGAAGTGCCCTCTTTGTGGGGATGGTGCTCTGTCACACATGGCTTTGGAGAAGCCAAGCCACATCCCTTCGCCCTGTTACCTGCTCCTGCCATGGCAATTAGCTGAGAACATTTGCTCTGCAATGAGACTGGAAAATGCAACATACTGGAACTCAGGAAACCAGGTTTGCAATCCAAAATCTTCCACCAGCCACAGACAAATCACCTCTCTGTTCCTCAGCCTGTCCATCTGTCACTTGGGTTATACCAAGAGTGCACTGTGGAGATGTAGTGGGGAGAACAGGGTAAAAAAGGTATCCATTTTAGTCATCACCACGCTCAAAGCACTTGGAGACACTTGGCTGCAGAGTGCTCCAAAAGGCACAAAGCACTGTCAGGAGGACAGAGTTTGTTCTGAATGGTCATGGAAAATGATCCATGTTGTTACAGCCACTGTGGGATGGAGTTATCTGGAAGACCTAATTAAACTAAGTATTTGCTGAGCAAAAGGGGGAAAAAAGGCAAGCACTCAGAAGGCACAGCAAATTAAACTACAGAGGCTAAAAGGAGGCAGATGAGCTCTCAGCTGGGTCCAAAAAGAGGTGGGAAGGTGGATACATGTACAATCACAACCAGAGAGGAGCAGAGCAGGAGCCATGTCATCAGCATAACTTGTCACTGAGGGTTGGTATTCTTAGGGTCAGTTGGATCAAAGCAAACCTCTACGTACTGCATCCAGAAGGAAAATGGTGAACCCTGATGCCAAGAAGCCACCTCCAAACTGTGGGGGTCAGAAGAAGGAGGATCAGCTCAGGAGAGCTCAGGATCTTAGCTCAGGAAGAGGCAGAGGAGATGGGGACCCAAGGCTGTTGTCTCAGTTCCTCACTGCCTGGGCTTGTCTCTGCGGTGCAGCTCAGTGGGATGCTCTCCAGGGCTCTGGCCCTGTTTAGAGATCAATCTACAAGAGGGCTCAGAAGTGGCTCCAGAGCTGGGGAAAACCTCCCCACAGACAAAACATGAGTGCTGGAATTGCCAGGGCACATAAGCAAGGAGGAGCAGTACAAGGGCAAAGCTGTGGTGGAAATCACAGGCAACCAGGTAAGGAAGGTGGTAAAGCCAACTAATTAATTCAAGCAAAGAAAAGAAGAGGAACAAGGAACAAAGTCTTTTTACAGCTGGAAACCGGAAACTTCTGAGGACAATAATCTAAAGAAAAAAGGAAAGATTCAGTCTATCTGTATTTCTAACCTTGCCATCACTGGAGTACATCAGTGAAGCCAGACATGGGAGAACCAGGCATAAGAGCTGTATCACACCACTGGAGTACATCAGTCCTCCAATGAAGCCAGATATGGGAGAACCAGGCATAAGAGCTGTATCACAGGTCTAACATCTCTTATGTGACAATGTCACACATTATCATACCTGCCAGGACAGACAAGTGCTGAGTTATGGGGAGAAATGAGATTAAAGTCCATCCCTGCACTTTACACATTATAAGCATCCTGTATCTCAGGGGCTAGAGGACTGCACTTGCCATCTCCGCTGCAAACGGTTCTGGAGAATGGCAAACTTATGCAAGGCACTGTAAAGGCAAAAGAGAAGGTCCAGAATCAAGAAGGTGGTAAAAACCACCAAGTGTCAGTTCACACCCAAAATTCACACACCCTAAAAAGAAAAAGCGGTGACAGATTATTAAGTGTGACGGAAGGAGATGGGATTGGGCATGAAACTATAAAGCAAAGCAGGAATTCAGTTTCAGGACTGTCAAACTCACTTGTGCCCTGGATGCACCTACCTGAGGAAAGATGCTGTTTTCAGAGGAAAGCTCAGTCAGGATGTGACAGTGAGCAGGAGGCACAGCTGAAGTCTCCCCCTCAACCAGCAACCTCAGTCTGACCAGTATCAACAATGGCAAGGGGTCCCTGGGGATGCCAGGGTTTAACAGACAAGGCTTGCAGCAGGGCACAAATCTTCACTACGTGGGAATGAGATGCACCTGCAAACTGCCACAGAGCAGAGCATATCCAAGCTTGCTACCAAGGAACCCACCAGCTCAGACCTGAAGACAGACCTCTTGAAGGTGTGGTGGACACACCTCACCAAATCTTCCCACAAGATAAATTTCAGATTCAAGGCACACATTGGGATTAAAGGCTGATTTCAAAAACCTGCAGTGAAAATGAAGCCTTTAGTCTATCCACTACAGCAAAACCCAGCCAAGAACAAACCAACAAATGAAGGAATGGCCACATGCCCAGAGCACTCCACCGTGTATCCACAGGAGTACAGAAACCGTCCTTGAAAATCTAGTCTGCATGTGTGCCATTAGGACTTCTCAATTAACAAGCCTTGCTGGCACTCAATGGGTCACTGGAGAAGCTCAAACAGCAGTACTGGAGCAGATATCTGTAGAATAATAGCTGTCTCTAGAGGACCAGGACAAAATACAGCTGAGCACTGATACCCAGCTGGATATAAAACCTCTTATCCCAGACTGTCTAATCTTCTGCTGTTCCCTCATGACTTTCCTGTGAAAGACCCAGCAAAGGGAACACAGCTACTTACTTTCCCAAGTACCCCACTGCAAAACCTACTCAGAGATGAACCTTCACACTAATTTCTCCTGGTCATCATTTGAGGCCATAGTTGGTAGGTCTGCTCTTATTGCTGTGGCAGGTGGAAACAGATTCTGTCTTTATTTGTGAAAACCTCTAGCCCACTCACCCTTTTTTAAGAGATCACCAGGAGCTCTTACCTCCGAATTGTCCTTAGCAGGGTCGACCTGGCCTCGTTGTGGAAGGTGATGATGATGCTGGTTGGCGGGAGGTCCTGGCCATAGTGCAAAGTCGTACACCTGAAGAGGGAGAGAGAGGAAAAGGCCGTTAAGGTGCCAGAATTCAAAGTGGGACCTCACTTCATTTACACAGGCAGCAGAGTCCATCAGGAAATGGTCCTCCAGGTACTATTAAAAATAAATAAATAAAATATTTTATGTGTGAATCTTTTCTGATGGAATCCAGAAACTGCCAAGTAAGTCACCAAGGATTAAAGCAGCAAAGAGCTTAATTGTCATTGACAGGAAGAGATGAGAAAGAAGGTGCCTAGCTGGTAGCCCTTTTCTCTAACCAGTGCTTTCCAGCTAGCACTCTCACACCCACCTGGCTGGTGGCACAGGTAGAGGTAAGAGCATCCTTGCAGCTCCAGCTCCAAACTGCCTAACTCCCACCTCCAGAGGCAGCAATTTCCACCAGTCAGCTGCAAGGTAAGCCAAGCCCTGTTTTTAAATTGATTGTTTCCTTATTCATTCTGTCCTAATGGCATAACCAGACTACAGGGAAGATTGGGATTTAAAACTTTCCAAGCCAGCCTGCAGAAGGTGAAAAACCACAAAAGCGACCACAGCCCCTGCTGTCTCCTTCCCAGGAGGAAATGTCATAGACTCTGTAATTACTTTGACCTTTAGCTCACTAAATTTGTGGGTTTTATAGACCGACACCAATATATTCCCAGCTCAGAAAATCCGGATGCATCTCTTAAATCTGCTCCTTCCAGGTCCCTAACAGTTCCTGAGATAGTCTTATGATGACACAACAGTAGCAGGAGGGCACCCCATACCCAGCCTGAGGAGCTCTCTATCACAGCCATCAAGTTCCTTCTCATCCATATGCCACTTGTCTGCTGTTGTGTCAGTGCCCAGGTGCTACCACTACCAGCCTCAAATGAAGCAGGAAAGAGGACTGAGCAACCACTCTTTAAACATACCATCAGTTCACTTCCCCAGAGTTCTGGACCACAATATCTGCAAGACGAAGTAAAAACAGATGGAAAAATTAAGCTGGAGATGGAGAGGAGAAAGCAAGTAGGAGTAGACAGATACTGCTGGTTTATGCTATTGAGCATAGCATGTTGTACCTTTAAAATGCCAAAATGCTTGAGATCATCATAGAAGTAGAATTTAAGGGGTTGGAATGTACCTTACAGATCATCTAGTCCCAACCCCCCCTGCCATGGGCAGGGACACCTCCTCACTAGATCAGGTTGCACAAGGGCTCATCCAGCCTGGTCTTGAGCACTGCCAGGGTCAGGACAGCCACCATGCCCCTGGGCAACCTGTGCCAGTGTCTCACCACCCTTATAGTAAAGAACATTTTTCTAATATCTAAGCATAACTTGCCCTCCTTCAGGCTGAATTCATTACCACTTTGTCTATCATTGCAGTTCCTAAGAAAGAGTCCCTCTCCAGGTCCCTTGTAGGCCCTTCAGATATTGAAAAGTTGCTATGAGGTCTCCACGCAGTTTTCTCCAGGCTGAACAGCCCCAACTTCCTCAGCCTGTCCTCATAGGGGAGATGCTCCAGTCCTCTTATCAACTTTGTGGCCTACTCTAGACTTGCTCCAACAGTTCCATGTCCTTCTCACATTGAGGGCACCAGAACTGCACGCAGTATTCCAGGTGGGGTCTCACGAGAGCAGAGTAGAGGGGGAGAATCACCTCTTTTGACCTGCTGCCCACACTCCTTTTGATGCAGCCCAGGATTCAATTGACCTTCTGGGCTGCTAGTGCACACTGCAGCTCATGGTGAGCTTCTCATCCACTGTCACTCCCATGTCGCTCTCCTCACTGCTGATTTCGATTACTTCAATATTATTTTTAATGAGGTTTTCCATTGTTTCATTTTGAAATTGTATTTCTGTTCATTTACAAAGTGAACTAAATTAAAGGAAGAAAGAGTGCGCAATACGTGAAACAATTCTAAAGATAAGAATAAAATGATATCTTAGGTGGGACAAAATATTTGCAAGCTCATGCTAAATCAGTCACTGCTTTCTCTCATTGTTTCACTCAAAACCTTTTCCAAATCCTGCTAAATTTCACCAAACCGAATTTCTGATTACTACTCTGTTCTTTCAGCACAGTCACCGACCTCATGAATTCACCATCAAACCAATTCTAATTCTAGGTCCACTCCCAAAGGACACCAAGTTGCACAGCTACTCTGGATGCAGGAGAGCAGTCAGTAACACTGCCCTGTGTGACAACACCCTCATTCATCAAAATTACATCTCAGGGATGCTGAAAACAGAGGGTTTCTGAATTACTAAACAGCACCAGGTCATGCCCTGAGCTGCTCATCTGGGTCACTGCAGTCCCGTGCATCATGCAGTAACCAACTTCAGCTGAGCCACCCCAACCTGATATGGTGAGAAAAAAGCTGCTGCTCAGCACCTGTTTTTGTGCATCATGCAGTGACCAACTTCAGCTGAGCCACCCCAGCCTGATATGGTGAGAAAAAAAGCTGCTGCTCAGCACCTGTTTTGCTAGGCTCAGGCTCAGGCTCAGCTCTTATTTGCTTTGTGGAGCTGCAGGGACAGACTATGGCAACTGCTCTCCCTGTGCTATTTATACACTGTTCCCAGATGCATGACTTCCACCCACTTCCAGTGGGGTTCTGTGGAGCAAACAAGGAAAGCTATTTCTGGAAAAGAATGAAAGAATGTGGAAAATACAAAGTCATCAATACTTTACTTAAGCTATTACAACAGTTAAGGAGCTAATAAATAAAGCAGCAGCAGGTGTGTGCTGTACCACCCACCAGTGGGAGTGCATGCTGGCTGAGCCCACCAGCAGTGCGACGAAGGCTCCTCATGTGTGACAACCTGCTTAGAAACTCCAGATGTCTATGCACTAGATTGGCCTAACTAGACAATGTGCATGCGGGAAATGCTGAAATATATATGAACACTTACAGAGGTTGATCACTGGCACTGCGACTCACCCCAGCTTCTGTCTAATGAGTACTTGTTGTATCCCAAAGATGGGACTGATGACTCTGCTGCTGCTAGAGAGCAGGCAGGGACCCAGCAGCAACTCTAGCCTTGTTTTTCCACTGTGACCAGCTGGGAGCTGCCTCTCCAAAAACCAGCCCAAAAAGGGTTAGGCTGGGCAGCTGCAGCTGCCAGGGCTTCTCCTCCAGGGTCCCTACTTGGCACGTATTCTGTCCTCACCCATGATTTTACCCCTGGATTCTTCTTACAGAAGCCCTCCCAAAGTGTTCTCCAGTTGGTCCCTTCTTTTTTTTTCTTCCTCCCCCAGTGTAAGTGAAGCTAAAAACCCTGGCTCCCCAGAAGGCAGATTTCAGTTTAAGTTGTTGACTACAAGTGTTTTTTTGGCACTTACTTGGGTAATAAAAACCACAGCTTGGAAATGCATTAAATCCAGCATGTCCAGAATTATTTTGTGTGACAATTACATCTGGGGTAATTTCAATTTAATACCTCACTGCAAGTGAAAATTGCAGCATGCAGCCCTAAAATTGCTGTAATAATGAAAATAAACCCACTAAGAGCTGCCTGTGCTACCTCAGGCTGTCACTGGATAAACGTTTTGTGCTGCTTATGGCATTTCATAGGTCACCCAATTGCCAACAAGGAAAAAAAAATCAAACAAAAACCAAAAACAACACCCACAACATTTTCAGGAATCCAATGAAAGTTTGAGGGTTTTTATATACTGTTCAAAAAAAAAGGTAAAAAAAAGTAATAACGGCCTTGCATATATTTGCAGTGTGTTGGAACTCACTGGCTAAAATTTCAAGTTTGAGGCTTTGAAACCTTGCAGCAGAACTAGGGAGCAATCCTAGCACAGCAAGTGCTAGCAGGAACGCTGCCAAGCTGATCTACATGCAATGTGGGCTGCTCCACCAGCTCCCAGCATCTGGGGGGCAGAAGCCAGACTGGCCTGCCCTAAAGCCCTGGAGGGAACATACAGATGGAGAAACAAATCTTATTTCCTCCTGCAAACCCAGAAGTCAAACTTCGATTTGATGGGAAGTTTCACTTTTCTGCTTTAAGGCTTTTTTCCTATTCAAATTATTTCAGAATCTGAAAGTTATGAAAGTGGCATCCTGGCTGCAGACACCTTAAGAATCACCCTTGGAAAATCCCAGCCTGGTCTGGTTGCCCACTTCCTTCAGCATGGATGGATCAGCACATCTCCATGTTCCAAATATGCTGTTAACAGCTCAGGAATAAATTATGGAGCACCTGTTTGTGGGGACAAGGGGCAGGTGGCCTGGGGCCGGCACTCATCACAGGAATTGGAAAGTCCTACAAAGTCCCAAACTTTGGACGCTCCAACATTCCTCACAGGCCTCCAAAGTCCCTTACTTGATTTTTTTCTTGAGTTCCTTTGACCTTTGTTTTCCTGGTGAGCAGTGTGGTATCACAGGCTGGTGGCCTCTGCACACAGCTGTCCCTGCATCCCTAGAGATCCTCCTGATGGGGCAACACATGCCCATTCCCAGGGAATTTCAACGCATTTAACATTTTAAATGGCAAACTTAACTCATAGTGCCCCTCACCAAACCAAAGCCCACCTTGGAAACATGGCTACATAGCACAATGGTAAAGGCAAAGGGTGTGAACAGAGATGGACCCTGTTCCGTAACCCCTCCTGGTCCCCCTTGGGCTCATCCAGAGTGTTTTCTCCTTGACACCTGCCATCACATGCCCACAGAGCTGTAGCATGTCTCTTGGAACCCACCTCTCATGCTCACCCTCTCCTGTGCCTCATTAACTTCCTCCAAGAGATGATTATCCTCATCCCACTCCCCTAGATTCCCCTGCCAGGCTTCTACTCACTCCTCTGTTCTACTTTGACAACCATCACTTGCCAACAACTCTGCTTTGAATTTTTACCATTTTCCATGAAGTCCAAACTCACCCTCAACACAGCTCACCATTTTCAAAGCACTCTCTGCATATTTATTTCAAACAGCCAGCTGCATCAGACGAAGCTATACCATCTTTCAACTCCCTCCTGGCTCCTCTCCTCCTTGGAAACACATGGGAGAGC